TTTTTTTTTTTTTTTTTGGTGCCAGGAATCAAACTCAGGACTTTGTGCTTGCCAGGCAGACGCAGCACCACTGAGCTAAATCCCCAGCCAGAAAACAAGTGTTTTACTAGCTACTACAATTACTCTTTGGAAACTTTGCTCCCATCTCATCCAGACCCATGGACTCAATTCCCTCCTCCAATCATCTTATCAAGGTAATTTCCTTTAAGGTGCCGTTATGGTTTAGATCAAAAATATCCTCCCCAAAATCTTGTGTGTTCAGAGGTGGTGCTTTTAGAAGGTGGTTGAATCATGGGCGCTTCATACTTATCACTGGATTGATCCATTGATGGATTTATAGTTGAATGTAACATTACTAGGCGGTAGAGCCCGTTGGAGGAAGAAGACTTTGGGAGTGTGTCTTTGGATAGGATAGCTCTTGCTTTAGCTTGTTCTGTCTCGTTCCATGTCCCGGTTGCCTTGGGGTGGGTGGCTTTCCTCTGCCAGGCCCTCTGCTATGCTACTTCTACCTTGGAGCCAGATGACCATGAACATAACCCTGTGAAATCATAGCCAAATAAACTTCCCCAGCTATTTTTGTCCCAGTAATAGGAAAGCTTATAGAGGAACAGTGAATAAAATAAATACATGAGAATTTAGAGCTTGGAAAGGCAAGAGAAAAGGAACAGAAAGAGCATAGCAAAGTGCTGTCAATGGCCAAACGACTTAATCTACCTTGTGAGTGATATTGTATGTGTTTGGAGAGAAGGAGAACAGTTGCTTTCCAGAAGAAGATAAGAAACTATCACTGGGTGTGGTGGCACATACCTGTAATCCCAGAACTTGGGAGCCTCAGGCAGGAGGATCACTGAGAGTTTGAGGCCAGCCTGGGCTACCTACTGAGTTCCAGGTCAGCCTCAACTACATAGTGAAACCCTGTCTCCAAAAAAACAAACTATCTACAGGGTAAAAAACTGAGAAGTAACAGACAATAGTGACAAAGACAAATATGAATCTCTAAGAAACTCCAGAAGTTGTGAGACATACACTAAACTTACCTGACTTGAAATGGAAATACAAGCTTGTTTGAAATAGATTGTTAAGGATAAATGCAACTTACATCACAGTTTAAAATGTACAGAGCTGTAAAACATATGTAGATATAAATTAACATTCATGCTATCAAATATTTTCCATCATAGGGTTATGCGTGAATTTTTTTCTCCTGTTTTCTATTTTTCTGAAATAAACACAAATTAGAAAAATATAAAGAAAATGTTCAAGAAAAACAATTAGGGTACTACCATATTTTTAGAAATTAGATTGAACATTAGCCAAGTCTTGTTTTCAGCACAGTTTCCCACATAATTGGTCAATTGTAAAAGAACTCTTTGGATCAGGTCTATTCATCTTGTTACTTGTAGGCACATTCTGCAGCTCATTCATCTTGGTAGGCCTATTTAAGAGACAGGGTTAGCTAATTAGAATTTTTAGTTAGGATCTTTTCCATGGCCATTGATGATGTCTGGATATACTCTCCCTGGAAAGTCCTTTCAATAACTTAGTTTCTAGTTTGTCTTATAGTAAGATCTGATTCAGAATATTGTTCCAGTAAATTCAAAACTGGCTAAGAGAAAGCTAATGATTTATTTAAAAGTTCTCCCTGTATCCTTGCTACTTTACCTTCTTATCCTTATCAAGTTTCCATTAGTAAATGTATGAACTTTTATGCAAAGTAATAGAGTACATACCTACCCTGTGACTGGTACATTAAGATTCTTCCCTCACAGAGACTCACCCTCCCATTTTCCAGCTTAATTTCTAAGTACAAAGATCTCTCATTAACCAGAAACAGCAGGCACTTTAGATTTCCTAGTAGAGGATAATGCAGAACAGATTTATCCATTAAATGAATACCTGGCTAATAGAATATATTAGAGATCCTAATTGCACTCTGTGCTCTCCTAATGCTAAACTTCACCATTGGAAAGGTATGTGCTGCCACTAGCCATACTATCTTCCTATTTTTAAAAAAGGCATACTTTCTTCAGGACAGACCCTGCCCCACACAAGGGTACATGACTTGCTGACAGGACCAGGTAGGGATTTTCACTCACCCCGTCAGCTGAATACCCTAGTGCATTATTAAGTCTGAATAACTGTCCAAAATATCCATAGTTTATGCGCTAAGATCTTACTTTACTCCCAGGAGGAAATCTTGTCACTAAATTGTGCTTCAATTCTAAACCTGTACTTAGTAGAACAATGTTTCCCAGCTATTTAGATTTCATGGATCAGTTAAATTCCAAAATAATCAAAAAGTCTTGAGGGAACCGGATTGTCAAGTTTTACTTGAAAAACAAAACAGGACTTACAACATGCAATTTACTAAGCATAATAATTTTATTTTTAAAATAACCAATGCATGTTCTGGATAAAAAGCTGCATCGGTGCACAGGCCATAGCAGACCAAGTTGTCACTGCCTGCTGGCTCTGTCATTGACTCCTCTGTCCTGCTCATCCATCAGCCACACTGGCTCTCTGTCTCCAGCTTGCCCAGCTGCTTCTGCTGCCCTCGTTTGCTTGTGGCCTACAGGTCTTTCCAGTCTCTGACTAGAGTCACAGAAGTACTCTCAACAAATGTAGAAACTGTTACTATTTCCGTGAGTTATATAAAAGAAAAGCATCAGTGGTTATATATCAGTTGGTTTCATATTTATCATATCTGCTAGGTAGAGCTTCATGAGAGGAACATAACTACATGGTTTTGTCCCTGGCAGCTGACACAGGACAGGTCTACATAATAAGTAATTAAGTATTTGTTGAATAGATTAAACCAACATCCCTTACATAATGTTTGCTAATGAGAAATCTGAGTTTTGAACCAGAAGAACATATTCCTTTCTTTTGAATATTAAATATATATAAGTTGCTTTTCTCTTGGCCTATTTCCAACTTAGATACAGGTTTATATTCCCATCCCAGAAACTATTTAATTTTCTGGTTGGAGTGTTTACTATTTCCTCTTTCATGTTTTTAAAATCATTTTTACCCTTTATTATAAGCTGCTTCAAATTCCTTTTTTTAAGAGAGATAAAGGGTGCAAATAAATAAAAGCCTAATAATGCAATGGCTCACCTGTTTCTGAAATGAAATGCTGACATTTCAGATGTTCCATATTGTAAAGGTTAGATGGTTAAATACATTCCTGTTCTGCTACATCAGACCACATGCAAACCACGCAAATATATCAGACTTGTAAATGGAGATAATTTTAAGGGACAGGTAGATATTTGAAATCAAGAGAAAGGAAAATACAAAGTATAGCATTCTAGTTTTAAAACAACCAACCTTAATAAAATCACTGCATGTACACCTACTTATGCTTATTATGTGCCTTTTTAAAATACTGAGAAAATCCAACTGCCAAGTGAGGTACTTTCCAAAGATTTTGGCAATGCATGAAGACTTTTTCCCATGAGATTTATATAGATTTGCTCTTAACATTTTCAGTAGACCACACTATCTCTCTAGCTCAGTAAATAGTACTTAAAACTGGGCCAAATATTAAAGTTCAAACTCTGCACTATTTTCTAATAAACAGGATTTAACACAAAATATATAGAACTAATAATCCCTAATTGGCTTGATTATTCATATAAAACATGCATTACCTGTAGTGTCTGGTAGAGGTTTATCACAAGAAACATCCAGAAGGTTCCCACCGTAAAATAAATCACCTCAGTTTATCTGATGACTCACATACTGAAACATATTGCAATCCTCCAAGTGCAAACACTTTTGGAGTCTTAGCCGGCCACATCCTCTCACATGCATGACAAACAAGCCAAGAGGAATCCAGAGAATTTGGTGCGGGCCACACAGAGGATGAAGGGCAGTAAGGACTAAGCCCCGCCTTTGTGCCTGCACCTTGTGCCAGAACACTCACCATCAGGGAGGATCAGCTGAAGAAGAGCCAAGTGGCAAAATTATCACCTCTGAGCAAGAAAGTGCCACAGCCCCTAGGCATGTGCTTAAGCTACCACAGACTTTACTTGATGATATGTGAAGGGAGGGGTATTTTTGTTATATCCAGTTTTTCTTCCATTGCTGATGTCCCTGTCTCCAAACCCACAGAGCACACTTGATCAGTATGCACAACACTTATGAAACACCCAGGGCTCAATTCTGCACTCGAGACTCTTCTGAGGGCAGGGAATGTATCCCTGGCACACACATTTGATGAGCTACCTTGAATTTAATCTAATTCCACAGAGTGAGAGCCTCTCGTCAAAAGCTTAATATGAGTACAAAAGGACCATTTTCAATCCATCAGGGAAAAGAAAGGCACTTGCTCTTCTGAATAGCTGAAAGTTTTGGCGCAGAGCCTGGCATCTTGCTTGGTAGGCACAGCAACTTTTGTATTCAGATTAGCAGGAGGGGAAAAAAATCCCAACTGAAATAGGCAGGCTCCTTTTATAATGGGGACACCTGAGCCTTGTTGTCCATCTCAGCAGGTGTTCTAGCAGAAGGCAGGTTATAGCAGAGACCCTAGAATCAGCCCTGGTTTTGACTATTAGTTCCAAATTTTACCAGGTAAGTAATAATACTGCAATCTATAGATTGCTTCCTTGCCAATAAAATGGAGCCTCAGGGTTGTGGTGGACACAAGTAATTGCTCTAATCCTCACCACAATCTGGTAAAACAAATGCCTAGATCTGCCACAAGTATACAAGTATCTGTTCACATTCTGTCATCCTCTCCTTACTTTCTGCTGACTTCTCAACTTTTCTCCTGACAGGAACAACTTGCAGGATACATGGAAAAAAAGGGCGACAGGTATTCTATCACTGTTAATCCTAGTATGTCAACTTCACTGGATTAAGAAACATCTAACAGATTCGAAAGCACACTCCTTGGCATGTCGGAGTGGGTCATGCAGGTGTGACCCTGGGTACTGTATGTGGCCTCTCAGCACTTCCTTTCCAGCACTGTCCCCCTGCTGCCATGAACTGAGCAGTTTTGGTCTACCACAACTTTCCACCATGATGTTTCTCCTTTGAAAGCAGCTAACCATGCATGGAACCCCCTGTAATTGTGAGCCAAGTCAACTCTCTCTTCAAGTTGTGGGTGCCAGGTGTTGTGTCTTTGTGATAGGAAAAGCTGATTGATACAGCTAGGCCTGATTCCAAGGCATCTGGGGCCACAACAAATTCTTCTCTGCCAACTCTTTCACTCTTTATCTTAGTCCACTGTAGGTTGCTACAAAGTCTGAGAATGGCCATTTTATAAAGAAAATAAACTTATCTAAGTCTTTGTAAATAGGTAGGGATGAAGGAATTGAAGGGAGGTCAGGGGAATGGGAAAAAATAAGAACCAAGATATATCATGTAGAGGTACAAGTTCTCAATGATAAATGTAAATGTGTTGTAAACCTAAAATGTATGTACCAATAATTTAGGGGAAAAAAAGAAAAGTTTAGCTCACAGTTTTGGAGGCTAAAAGTTTAAAATCAGCCCCATATGTTTGCTTTGTGGTGAGGTCTTTCTGGTTATGTCCACAACATGGATGTCATATGAAACAGAAGCACACACAAGTGTTTGGGCACAAAGTACAGATTAAATCACATGACAAGTGAGAAGCAGAGACCAGGCTAGCTCTTTTATAAAACCTTCTTATATGGAAACATTCACTTTTGTAGGTCTTAATCATCCCAGGAGATCAACATTAATCCCTTTACCAAAGAAGCATGGCCTAATCATTGCTTACCAAGCCTCGTGTCCTAAAGATCCCCTCACTTTTCAGTAACATTGTACTGGAGACCAAGATTCTAACACATGAACCTTTAGGGGAAAAACTATAGCATCAACCCAAGAATATTCTTACCCTGTTTAAAAACTTGGAAGAAATGAATGTTTAAGAGCACATTTAAAGGGAGAAAGAAGCCACAAAATGGCAAAAGCAACCTTAAGAATATGCCAGTAAAGCCAATTTTTAACGGGACACTAATGGGCTACAGATTTGCTTTGCTCTTGGTGACAGAAGTGTCATAAGAATACTGTATACAGTTTTATGGCTGTTCCCCTAGCCTCCTTTATTTTTCTTCCTTAACCTCTTTTTCTAGTTCTATCATTTTCAAAGATACAATGGTTAGTAAAAGAGTTTTATTGCCAGCTTACTAGTATTGTAGGCAAAAAGACAAAAGCTTTGTTCTAACCTTCTTTCATTCCTGGTTTCACACCCCTCCACTTCATGCACAATCCTGTTTGAGGTACCACAAAACTACGTACACTAGCATTTTCTAATAAAGAGGATCATGTATGATTCAAGTCCCAGAAAAAGGTGTCTTCATATAATCTCAGTTTGTATTTCTAGTCTTGTGCCAGTCTTGCATTTCTAATCACTACCCAGCTATTAATATTCCTGAAGACTACTGGGACCGCACACTCACTGCTAACAAGCATAGTTTTGCTATGAAATCTAGCTTTTCCAGACCTTCTTGATTTTGGAAAGGCTCTATTTTCTTCCCAATTAAAAACTTTAGTTTAAACCTTCTGACAACTGTTTGTTCCTTGAGGCTGTTCAGCTGGTGTCTCCTTTATTCTCACCATCACTACTCTAACTGTTAGGAACTGTAATTCAAGCTCACAACCCCCATTTAACCATCTCACTAGATTAGCAGATTTTCTTCTTTACCTCTGAAAATATACTTAGTTTAGGTTCCCAGGAAGCAGAGCCAAACAGGGGGATTATGAAGCAATTGAGCCACTGTGAATATATTTTCAAGAGAAAGCTGTCGGGAAATGAGGAAGTAGTAGAGAGAAAGGAAAGAAGCCTAGCAAAGATGCGCTTAGCTTAAATGTTGTGACCACTAATCATGCAAAGAGCACCAGAGCCTGAGTGGTTTCACAGTCTCATTCATTCTTGCACTAAGGGGCTTTCTGTATCTTTACTCAATCATTGGCCATCATTGGCCATTAGTCACACACACCCCCGGTGAGATGGGCATAGCTTTGCAGAGCAAGTACAACTACTCTTCCGAAAAGAGTGCATCCATGAGTCCTTAGTAACCAGTACTCACAGCATCTTGGGTTTTAGGTGGACCTTTCAGAAAAATGGTCTATGAAAGACATAAGTAAGGGTGACTGCTCATACTGACACCTGCCCATTGTCATAGCTAGTGGGACACAGGGTATCACCAGGAAATAGCAACAACCATAGGTTTTTGTTATAAAGAAGCAAGTAATTACAATTAAATAAAATAGAACTTTAAAACTGGCCACATGGGTGATGGCTGAAAAGCAAACTGGAGTGAAAGAGACTCCATCTAGTGACCAGCAGTAACTAAAAGGAAATTATCACAGCCCATAGGACTGGAGAGACAATGTAGAAGATGGTGTAAACAACTCAGGGCTGACTTTAGGGTGCAAAAACCACTAGAAGGATGGGAAGAAACAACTCCTGCCAAGACACTTCAGGAAGTAAGGATGAGGAGAAGAATCTGGCTTATCCCCTCCCCCGCAAGACTTGCAGATTTCTGCCTGTGACTCCAATTGGCCAGAATTCTATGAAGAAACCTAAGGAAAAAAGGAGTCTGGGACATACAGCTCCGGCGGTGCACAGCAGAGTAGGGAAGGGGAGAACAAACAAGGGCCAAATGGCAAATACACAACCACTATGTTACATCTGCACACTTCCGTTTATACCAAATTATATGCTTGCTAAACAGCTGGGCTGCATCCATTTTTCACTGCTATTGTACAGAATAAACTAGTTTTGGAGCATACATCTCTCTTTAGGTTAAAATAGAAGTAAACAAATTTATGCTTTGTCCCACTTAATACAATCAATTTTATAGGTACCATGTGTTGTTTCTCTGTCTCCGTTTCTAATTCTCAAACTGTGCAAAATACTGACCTTGAAGGCTACACTCCTCCTGAAGCCCATTCACAGCCCCAAATCGGAACTAGGCAAATGGTAAGACAAGGTTGGAGGATTGTGAAGACAGCATTAGGAGTTGAATTCAATTTATTCATAGTTTTGGCACAGGTTCACTTGATAGGACACTTCCTTCCTTTGAATTTCCATTGTCTCCCTCATATATCTGACTAAATATTTAATATTTGATATTTTCTAAATGTTAGCCATCATTTTACATGTTTTACCAAGAACTAAGTAACATAACCATAGGTTAAAACATAGTTGGCACATTTACATGTGTCTTTATTATATGTCAGTTTGCATCAGGACCTGGGACGACTCTAGAGACAGTTTGCACAAAGGCCATACCAAGAGGCTTAACAAACTGATATAGGCTTAGTAGAAAACAGAAAGAGAATCTTCCCAGGTGTTGTTCTTTGCTACTTGCAATCACACAACTGGGGAAGAAAACATCAATCACAGGTTTGCTATGAGTGGAATGATTTTCAAAGTATATTTTTGCTACATGTAGACAGCAACCCTTTGTTTTCATTTAGTAAAGTGAAGAAAAGCAATAGAATTATGAAGTGTTCTCATCTCTATATTGCTTTAAAACAACCTGCAAGGTCATAAGATACAACCCTCTACCAAAATCTCTAGTACATTTTCATGGATTGTAAAAGCTTATCTAAGTAAGAGTATTTTTGTGAAGGTATATTAGCACACAACTACCTAAACCTCATTTGTGTTAAAAGTGATGACTGAATATACCTCTTTAATGTTGCATTTAAAAACTAACTGTCCTCAAGAAGGAGTTTATATACTTCAGCAAATGACATTGAGTCAAATATAATACTAACCACTTACATCTTTCCCAAACTCAAATTTAAAATGGTCTCTTAAGCTTTCAAATCAGTCTTGAGATGCACTAGAAGGGCATTCAGTTCTATATCTGCTGAGATGAGAAATCAAATC